TCTTTACAGCTTTAGTTGTAGATCTTTTATGCTAGTCTTCCAGTCTTTTCCATCAATAGTTGCACTGTAAATAGTTGTAATTTTGACATGTCCATGGCCATTTGGCCCATAGTTGGCTTTTTAAAATACGCATTTGACTGTATCTCCCCAGAGCTTAATAATGCCCTATAGTTCCTCTATTTTTAAAGGGACTGTGCCTATGCTCTTGCCTATGGAACACAAAGACTTTTACAGCCTGGCCCCTGATGGCTTTGCTGGCCTCCTCACTCATCATGCTCCATAGTGTATCCTGCCTTTTAGACACTCAGAGGTACCTAGCACACCCCAAACCCAAAGTGCATTTTGACTCCTCTTTGCCAGTGCTGTTTACTCTGATAATCCTCACATTCTTCTCCTTATCCACTTTGGGTAATCCTGAAGATTGTTGAGACTGAGTTCCAATTTCCTTTCTTCCTTCTCCCTTGTACTGAGAAATATGAGTCTTGAAGAATGCTTTGGGTTGCAAGTAACAGAAAACGTGACTCAAAGTGGCTCCAACAACAAGATAGTTTATCTCGCTTGTGAAAAAAATGATAGGCAGTTCTATGATTAATTCAGTGATCAAGTGGGTCATAAACAACCTGTGTTCTTTTCAACTTTCTGTTCTGCCGTCTTTAGTGTGACTTTTGTTCCTGAGTTTACTGAGCAGACTTCCCCTCACAAGCCATGGATAGAACTGTTTAGCATATGTTCATGTCCATATTTGTGTATTAGTCAGGGTCTTCCAGAGAAACAGAACCAAAAGAATGTGTGTGTGTGTGTGTGTGTGTCTGTATACAGAGAAAGAAGTTTATTTTAAGGAATTGGTTCATAAGGTTGTGGAGACTGACAAATCTGAAATTTGTAAGGTAGGTCAGCAGGCTAGAGTCCCAGTTGATGTTGCAGCTCAAGGCCAAAAACTTCTGGAACCACAATTTCCCTCAGCCTTTTTTTCTTAAGGCCTGCTGCTGATTGGATGAAGCCCACCAACATTATGGAGAGTAAACTGCTTTTCTCAATCTACCAATGTAAATGTTAATCTCGTATAAAAAATATCTTTCCTGAAACTTAAATTAATGTTTGATAAAATATCTTGGTACTGTGGACCAGCCAAGTTGTCACATAAAATTAGCCATCATGACAAAGCTGAAAAGAAAAAGAGGCTGAAATCTCCATGATTGGTGTAGGTATTAGCCAAGGGTAACCTTCTGGGCCTGGGAGGAGCTCCTTCCTGAGCACATGGCTGTGTAGAGGATAAGCACTCAAACAAAATTGGGCTCTGTCTATAAGGCAGACTGTTGGTTATAGGTGGTGTTGGATTTGCATAGGTAAACAACCAAATCTGTTAAACACTAGGCAGGCTGAATCCGAGCACTTCATGGCCTCCTTTTTATGTTCCATAAACCTTATTAGAGCCCTTACAGTAAGTTATGGGTTTATGACTCTTTAGGCTGTCAGCTTATCCTTGAATAAGAATCATGTGTCAATTAGCTTTTTATCAACTGTCAGGTGGCTACTCCTTAAGCACTACTGAACTGGCCAAAGTCAGGGATTTTGATGCTAAATCAAACCTGTGTTTGCCACTGCTGAAGAAATCAT